CTGCCACTCTTAAAACCTAAAACCTACTACATGAATTGGTGAGAGACTCCCTGTGGTAAATATTTATCAGTTTTAAATCTACCAATGTCATTAAGACAGAAGTTTCCATCCAAAAACCAGGGACAATATATGAGCAAGGAGCACATTTTCCTGACAGACTGAACATTGATTTAGCAAAGGAGGCCTGTTTAATAGATCTATTTGTAAACTGATTTCTACTTTGTCTTAAGTTTGTGAGTTTTATTTTGTTATGTTCATTCATGTTAGTAAGTATTTTCTACAGCATTACATGAGGTGAAAGCTCGCCTGTGTAGATAACATTAAGTCACATTAATTGTTTGTGGCGATTTTTATCAAATTAAACCACAAGAATCAAGTTGTTCTGCTTTATTTGTTATTGGTGCATATTTGGTTTTGCTGTTCCCTGTTCAACATCTTGTAAATGTGAATGCCAAAGCTGCAGAACAGTTTTAGATCAATTTGATATAACCTGACTGAGCAGCTACAGTGGAATACAGTGTCTTAGTTGGAGTTTCTAAAAGTTAAAAGTGAACTATTTAACCTTTTTAGAAGAAGACAGGCTACCTTATTGTTTCTATTCAAATGTTATTGCTTTCCCTGGAGTGTTCCACAGTAAAAGTTACATAGCGCACTTTTAAATGCAATAACTACAAAAAGCAAAGCAGGCAAAGCAGTACAATTTCTCTGGAGACAAGCCAGTGGCAGACCCTTGACCAAAAAAGTGCGCACACACTAATTGTGTTTGTGTGATAATATTGAGAAGAGTTTGGTCTAGTAGTATCAATATTACACAAGGAGAAGTAAAAAGAAAAGTATAGTGGCACAAAAATTAGCTATAGAGTAAAAGAGTAGAATAGAGTAACTATTTGGATACAACATGTTTTTTGAGGTTAATGTAATCCTAAAGAGAAAATATTGAATAATGCAATAAGGCACAGATTTGGGTATTTGCAAAAATAAGGCCATAAATCAAAAACATATAGAAAGATTAAAGGACCAGAATTGGATATACTGAAATTATGTGATGTTGTCTTTATAAAGATGTACTAACTTTTGTCAGACAATGAACCATTGTTGAGAAAGAACTGTCTGGGATTTCACAAATAGTTCCTTTCACGTGGTTCTCATCCAATAATGTCTCTGATTGGATAAAATGTCCTTGCAGTTTTTTTTCTTTATGATTCTCATCCAACAAAATGCCTTTTAAAATGTGTACAATATCGGTCTTTTTTCTTACATCTTTTTTGCGATATACTATGGAGTAAAGCCACTTCCCAACTAATAGAATATATGTCAAGATAGATTTATTATTTGGCAATTCTGTGTGAACCTTCTGTCATTTTTGGTTTTAGGTGGATAAGGCCAGTAATTTGAGATATTAAGCTTAAAATAAAATGATAAAATATGAGCATTAAGACAACAAATTCTACTATAGATGTATCACCTAGTTTAGAATTCATTGAGATCACATGAACTGAACCTATTTTACACAAAATCTCAGTCTAAAAATACTTGTTACTCAGCTTATGAACATGAAGACTCTTGATAAACAATACCCAGAAGCGACCAATCATATTCTTTTACATGGACCAAATTGGTTGCGCAAAAGCCGGTGCTTGCACAATACATAACAAACGGGAAAAGGGGGAAATGCATTCTTGTGTCTTAACTGGAACCTTCAGAAACCTGCTCCTCTGGTTCTGCCAATAGAGACCAGAATATTTGTGGTGACTTTTGGACTTGGATCACTTCATCAGATGATAGATGGAGTGATGAGATAAGCTGTAGTTGGGCAGGGTGTAAAAAAGATGTTTAAATGTACATGAGAAAAGTCCAACAATCTTCCCTTTGTGTTTGACTAATGCCTCCACCTGTTGACATGACACTTAAAAGCACCTATTTTATTTGTGCTGAGAGAGAAGACAATGAATGTTTTGTATCAGGATGATAGGTTTGGTCCAATAATCACAGAAATTATGAGGAAATTATATATATCTATATATATATATCTCTCTCTCTCTCTCTCTCTCTCTCTCTCTCTCTCTCTATATATATATATATATATATATATATATATATATATATATATATATATATATATATATATATATATATATATATATATATTATATATATATATTATATATATATATCCATTTGTGGATGTTGGAACACTGAGCTACTAGTTGTTTGGCCGTTAGCTTGGACTGTGGGTATCGTAATAACCATTTCTCCCACATCCTGTTCATGTAACCCCTCTGCCTAGGGTTACTGTAGTAGTAGCATTCCAACAGAGCTTTGTTCTCACATCTCGCCCATTTCCGCCATGTTCCAGTAGCCCATTTTCATCAAGGTGCCCTGGTTCCCCAGCACCTGATGCAGACCTTGTTTGGCCGGGCAACGTCTGAGCCGGCATGTCATACGTTTCTTTCTCTCTCATCATTGTATGAGGTGGGCAGTAGCACGAAGGGTCTTGCCCAAGGACCCACAATGGTTAGCTCATTGCCCCCTCTGACGGGGCAGGGGGGCAATGAGCTAACCAGTTATTTTAAACATCTGTGCAGAGTACGGGCTGGAGACCCCAGGATCAAGGTGGGAAACACCTCCAAAGGTTGTGGAGAATGACCGAGCCAAGATCCTGTGGGACTTCCAGATACAGACTGACAGGAATGGTGATGATGGGAACCAACCAGACATAGTGGTGGTGGATAAGAAACAGAGCAGAGCCGTGGTGGTTGACATCGCAATACCAAGCGATGGTAATATCAGGAAAAAGGAACACGAGAAGCTAGAGAAATACCAGGGGCTCAAGGAGGAGCTGGAGAGAGCCTGGAAAGTAAAGGCATCAGTGGTGCCTGTGGTGATCAGAGCACTCGGGGCTGTAACCCCCAAACTGGAAGAGTGGCTACAACAGATACTGGGAAAAACAATGGACATCTCAGTCCAGAAAAGTGCAGTACTGGGAACAGCAAAGATACTGCGCAGAACTCTCAAGCTCCCAGGCCTCTGGTAGACGGACCCGAGCTCAATGAGGGTGAGAGAGACCTACCACCGTGGAAGGTGAGAAACACATTTTTTTTTTTTTTTTTTTATATATATATATACAGAGAGAGAGAGGGAAGAGAGGGAGAGAGAGAGCTTTTTTTTTTTCAAGTGATAGTGATATTTAAGTATAATTGAAGATTTCTAGTGTGTCCGCCACACCTGCTTGTCAAGTACCAAAGTGGGGCAGTAGTGGATTTTTCTTACTTTTGCGTCTGTGTTTTTGTCATTGCCTGTCAATGGCGAGCAGTTAGATGTGGTATAGTCTTTGATTCAAGTTTAACTTTAAAAGACAATTTACTGACTCCAGCGTTAACTAATTAAGTCATTATCACCAACAATTATTTTAATGCTGTTAACGCAGTTTTTATTATTTATTTTTATAATTTTATTATTTATTTTATTGTAAACGTCTGTTTCTCACTGACTTTTATTTTGAAAAAGTCCACCGTGAGCGTTTCCTTAAGTCTGATGTCTTTTCTTTACACTTTTTTCACTTTTTTCTGACCACGTGAGATTCAACGTGTCCGAGCCTCCGCGAGCTGCGGGCCTGGCTGCGGGTTCGGCCACAGGCTCTGGCTCCAGCCTCGGTTCCGGACGCGGGTTTGGCCGCGGGTTCGGTGGGCACGGTTGGTCCGCTCTGAGCTAAGCTTATTTCTTTAGTTCAGCGCTGCAGGGGGAGTCACTGATTTACCCAGATACCATTGGAAGAAAAAATGTGATTGGTCCATTTCCATTCCATTATATTAACCCTTTGTTTCCCAAGAAATATCAGTCCAAGTTTATAACAATGATCTAGAAATTATTACTAGTGTAGTGTTTACTACTCACTGCATAAAAAATATTGAAAAAATATATTAGTAGTATAAAAGTCCATTCAATATTTTTTCTTGAGCCTTCACTGAATACCTTGAAGGGTTTCCCTGTGAAAGAAATGCTGTTTGCACAACAAATGCATGGCTCTTTCATTTACATTTCCAATAAAAGTGTGCTATACTCCACTTTTTAATTCGTTAATTGGTTTTCGTATAACATGTGATTAATCGCGATTATTTTTTTAAATTTTTGCCCAGCCCTATATATATATATATATATATATATATGTGTATATGTATTTACAATATTTAGAATTTCTAAAGTTATCCAGTTTGTCTGGGTGTCGACCTCAGTTTCAAAGTTCTAAATGTGCCTGTGTAAAAAAAAAACCCTAATAATAAGCATCAGTGCAAGATGAGACTGCAATGTAGTATGAAGTTTTTAAAAATGTTAAAACACATATGTATGTATGAATGAAATCATTAAGATAGATGGATATAGATCTAGACACTTTATTGAATCCAAGATCCAAGGAAATAAATTAAACAAAATGGAAAACATGATGCAAGAAATTTAATGCAAAAGGCTGTTCAAGACATACAGTTTACATATATAACCTATAATATAAAATTATGTCAGCCAGACATGGCTTCATAAAATACTTTTATTCTTCATAGATGAACAAAAAATAGAAATCTGCCATGTCATCACTGCACTGTCAAAACACAATGTAATGAAAATGTGAGTGCAAAACAGCTTCATATATGTACTATGGAGTAACAAGTGACCATGAATCCTGTTGGAACTGTACTTGGCTTTTCTAGTGTCCTCGAGTTTTATATGTGCCTTTTATTTATTCCAAATACAACCAGTACACTCAATATTGACTCATGTTGAACCTTTGTATTTAATACGTAGTAGTTTTTTGTTTTTTTTGTTTTTTGAAAGTAAGATTTATGTTGAAAATGAACTAATTTGTTTGCATTTCTAATTTACAGGATCAAAAATATGGTCACTGTTACCCATTTCCTTCATACTTGCGTGGCAAGAAAAAAATCAACATTAGTTGTGTTGCTTATATTAGTTAATGTATATATGAGATAGAGGCAAGAAGTGCTTTGGTTTGCTTGTAGCCGAGGAGGAGCTATTTAGTCCATCACAGCCATAGTAAAGTCAGGACGCCCAGAATAATTATGAGACCTGCAAAAACAAAGTAAAGTAAGATGTTCATTGCATTTCAAAACTTAGGGTGTGTCATGGATTGATCCTGGAATAGTCACAGTTCATTTTGCCCTGGTTTAGTTTTGGTTTAGTTTTGATTTAGTTTCAAGGTAAGATGAAATATTCAGAAAATATATTTGACTAGTTCAGATTTATTCAGCGAGCAGGACTAGTAAGATGTATTTAAAATAATTTTGATGACTTTGGTTCAATATTGTGTTTCCAATTCTGATAATAAATATCTGTCATTTGAGAACAAAGTGGAATACTAAATACTAAATGAGTAAAGAAATTCTTCTTGACTGGCAAAGATTAAACTTGTTCAAACTTGTCCAAACCTACTGACCAGGAAAAGCTAAAGGTGAAAATTTTAATATGGGCTGCAGAATTTAAATTCATATTTTTCCAACTTAGGGTATTTAGTGAAAAGAGTTAATTTTAACAAAATCTGACTCACAGTATTAAAGCCTGTTTTTCAAGCTATTTCTGTGAAAAAATCTCCATGGAGATTTTCTCCTTGAGGAAAGTTACACAGTGCCCCTTTACAATAATATTCTAGTTCATGAAGATATTTTTGCAAAATGATCATAAATAAAAGTTACATAATTATTAGGTGTAAATAAATAAATATTAACATTTTACAGTGTTTACCTGTGTTCACTGAGAGCTGTGTGGAAGTGGCACCAGCTGTAGTACTGACAGTGGTGGTGGGAGCCGCCGTTGTGGTTGGAGCCGCTGTTGTGGTTGGAGCCGCTGTTGTTGTGATGGCTATGTTCATGACATTTACAGTAGGATTTGAGATGTCCACAGCTTGTGTTGTGATCTTTGGGACTGGGGCTCCAATACTGTCATTATCTGTGAGAAAAAGTTTAGAATTTTACTTCCTGGTAGAACATAGGTTCATGGCATTTGTGACATATGTTGTACCAAGCAACCACAGCAACCAGAATGTGAACAAGGACCAAAACTTGTTTAAATCAAATTATGATTAGACCAAAAGTAAATGACAACATATTTATTTTGTTTAATTAATATTTAACAGGAGTACGACTGGACACAACCAAGTCACATTGCTTTTGTGTGGATGTGGTGGGTGAGTTTGTCAGATTGGCTAGCTCACTTCTTTGAATCTGCTCCAGGGCAACTGTGGCTACAGCACCACTGAGTATGGACTGAATGAATAGTGAAAAGAATAAAAAAAAAAAAGAATAATTTCATTGTTTATTTGGGCTGACAGAAAAACAAGAAAGATAAACCAGGTCAAAACATAATTTTAACAGTTCAAAAGGCACATTCCACCATACATTTTGACCTGCCATCCAGCTCAGTGTTGACACATGAACACAAATGTGTGTGAGGTCTTACCAGGATCATATTCTCCAGTTATGACAGACACAGTGAAGGTGGTTTCTTCTGCTCTTACTTCTCTTGCTACTCTGGATGTGGCCGTGGCATCAGGGACAGTGGCGGAAAAGGCACACTGAATCTGGTTTCCATTGATTTTACCTACTACACGGTTGACGGGCAACTATGGAGTACATCATCAGTTCATGTTATTGTGAGTTTTATTAATTTCAGTGACAAACATACAGGCTAATTCAAAACTATCTTCAGACTATCTTCAAACTATCTTCAAAGTTTAAAAATTTAAGGTATGTAAAAATGAGGGTGGAGGTCAAATACTTTTCTCCATGGAGATGTTATTGCTTTGTCTGAAATGTTTCACATTATGGCATTAAACCTTTCTAGCTTCAATGAAGACCAAACCCGACCACGTTACAGGTAAGATTTGTGGAGAGGTAACCCCGCTCATAGTTGCCTGTTTTTCTAGGTATTTTTAGTTTCAAAACACCTGCAATTCAATAGATGTTAAATAGAGCTGTTTTATGTCATACTGTGGAACATTCCAGGCAGTGCAATGACATAACCATAGAAACAAACAAAAAGTTACATAGTGCACCTTTAAGTGACAAATGTGAAAAGATTGTAAAAATATAGCCGCAAGTGGCAATGATCAGGCCTCACATATGCCAAAGCCCCGCCAACACAAATTTTCACTGATATCGGAGTTCATCTGTGCACATGGGAGCCATTTATATAGATGCAAATACGTGTTGTACATTTTGTAAATTTTTTGCAGAAAATTTGGATAACTTGATGCCCCACCCTTTGAGATAATGTATACTAAATTTGAACCTGTGAATGCCCTAGGAGGAGTTCTTAAAAGTACTGGTGAAGCATTGGCATATTTTTTAATTGTGCAGTCATGAACTACTTCTTTACTTCTACTTGTTTTTTTGTTTTTTTTGCCATCATTCCAATGCCCTAAAGGCCTGGCCACACTGCATGTGTATATTGCTCTACGTGAGTGTAAGAAATCCAACTTTTGGGGGCGGCTACACTGCCAGTGGTTGGTGCGCGTCTCGAGCAGCATGTGTAGATTTCAGAAAATAGAATCCAGTCTATTTTTGACGCTCTACGTGAGCATAGTATCCCCATCAAAATGTGTAGAGAGCATGCATCTATTGTTGTATTTGTGCATTTACCATCAGCACAAAGTGTTCCTGTGGCAGTTTTGTATAGTTTGAAAGAGCCAGGTCCAGAAAGACTGTTATTAGTGCTTTGAAATTTACTCCTGAAATCCAAGCGTGTCATTGTCAGCCGGATAGTTTCACTGTAGACCTGACACAAGTGGCTAAATGCGCTCAGTCAAGTATGACCCTCTTTCCCATTGACAAACACAAGTATACATCCTGCTGGTGCTGCCAGTGTGGCCATCTTTGCGTTGACATGCGGCAGTGGTTTCTTGAGGTTACACATTTTTTCTTGTGTCGGGGTGCTTATGCATCATTTTATTGATTTTTGAAAACTCAAAATGTGGAAATTGGAAATGTTGGTTCAGGAGTCTGGGTTTGAATCTAGTCTGACTGTAGCATTTCTCACACTAGGCTAAATACAAGGTATTTTATTTTAAGTTTTTTTTTTTACTTGAATCAATTGTTTATTGCTATAAAGTTATTAGGTTAATTAATAGCCTAAAATAACAAATGTTTGGTTATTAGAAGTTAAGATTGTTTTCAGCAGTATCATACATTTTCTGGCATGCGTTTGGCCTCTCTCTACATGAACTGTGTGCCAACCGAGGATGCATAAACAATATCGGCTACATGAACATGGGGAACACCGGGACCTCTCTTAACATGCACATCCCTCTGGTACCGGTGTTTCTCATTTTTTTGGTACGGGGAACAGTGGCACCAGGGAACACCAAGGCCTTTTTAAAAATGAGGTACCACTCTTCGTCTGTGCCACTGGTCCCCCGCCCATACAAAGTGGGGAACAGCGATTCCAGGGAACATAGGTACTTTGGCCAACCGCCAGCTTCTGGTGCTCAGGCCTAATTTTCTACCTAAGTGTAGAGATTGTTATATAAATTTATACAATGTTTATTTAATTCTTTCTGAAGCATTCTGACATTTTTGCATATCTTTAAAACATTCACAATAAGATAGATGAAGTCGATATATACTGTTACTTGAAAAAAATTCAATACTACAATACACAACAAGTTTGTAAAAAGTTTTTTTTTTTTTTTTTTAACTCACCGGTATTATGATTCGTTGGCCACTCGGAGTTATTAGAAGAGTGATCATCTTAACTTTGTTTAGTTTGTTCTTTGCACATGCATATACAGTTTCATTTCCCCCCTGTAAAGACAAATAAAGGTAAACTAGTTTAGTGTATTTTAATGTTAATGTTGGGGTAAGTATTGCACAGAATCATCAGGAGAGTTTGAATAGGGCCCGGGACATTTAGTTAAAATACTTAAACATGCATGAATGACATTTAAAATCTCTTCAGGCATGTTTTTGGCAAGGGGACGCTATAACATGGTAGAAAACTAAAAAAAAAAGATTTTAGTATCATTGTGCCATGTCATGTTTTATTTAAGACATGCTGCCTAAAGACTGGGGTTATTTTGCTTCTTTGTGGTTACAGTGTCTAGCATGGAGTGTCATTTGCTGTTGCAATTGTTCTCCAGAATTTGGCCTTGGTCCTTTTCGTTAGTGCTTTTGTTGACTTACACGTGCAGATTTCAGAGAGCTGCCAAGATAGCCAGCAGACTGTCCAGACAGGTTAATTCGAAAGTTACGGCCACTTTCCCTCTGTGCTCCGACAAAGAAGCAAGGACTGTTGGGATCCGCAGGATTACAATCGGCTGGTTGAGCTGCACAGAGCTCTGTGCGCCCACACTCCTCGTTGCTAATAGAAGTCTGAAATGGTAACAGCACAATCAGAAAAGCACAGTAATCTTGCAATTTACTGATACACATTTACTAGCTGTCTCCCATTAAATCCGTACTGCAAAACATCCTAAGTAATGTGTCTCTACTTAACAAACGCACACTATACAAATGACTCATACAAGGAAAGCCTGAGCTCACCCCGGTGGTGTGTTCATTGCACGGAGCGATGGTCGTGTACACTGATCTGCTCACACTGTACGAGGGACATGAGCCAGAGGCAGGCTGTGTGCATGTCTGTGGTCTTATTATCTTTTCATACATCACTTTTAAATGCCCAGAACATCATAGAAATATGATGTTTACTTTAGTACTGCTAGGTTTAAAGTCTTCCTATTGCCACCAAACATTTCTGGCTAACACACGTGTGGTGATTTGGTCAGAAGATGTGTCAGAGGCGTGCTTATTACCCCAAGTCACCTCAGTGCATCCACCTCACTGGAGCAGTGTTTACATCTACCTGAAGCTGTATTTTACCATGCACACGCTACTCTCACTCTGCTACAGCTTAGGCCTTACCAGTTGTGCAATCAAAGTGAGCAAGTGATCTCAGGTCGTACCTCGCTGTACACTGCATGACTCATGACACACACAGGAGCCAAAATTCACCCTGACTTAAAAATTATTTTACTACTAAAATGTGCGCCAAAATCAACCCAAAAATTGCATAGTGTAAGCCCAGTTTAAAATGTCTTCATCTTACCGTAAGGTCTGCAACTGTTTCGAAGTCTGGCTGTATTGGAGGGGCAGTAGTAGTTGTAGTTGTAGCTGTAGTTGGAGGAGGGGTGACAGTCGTTGTAGTTGTAGTTGTATTTGGAGGAGGGGTGGCAGTCGTTGTAGTTGTAGTTGTATTTGGAGGAGGGGCGGCAGTCGTTGTAGTTGTAGTTGTATTTGGAGGAGGGGCGGCAGTCGTTGTAGTTGTAGTTGTATTTGGAGGAGGGGCGGCAGTCGTTGTAGTTATAGTTGTAGTTGTATTTGGAGGAGGGGCGGCAGTCGTTGTAGTTATAGTTGTAGTTGTATTTGGAGGAGGGCGGCAGTCGTTGTAGTTGTAGTTGTATTTGGAGGAGGGGCGGCAGTCGTTGTAGTTATAGTTGTAGTTGTATTTGGAGGAGGGGCGGCAGTCGTTGTAGTTGTAGTTGTATTTGGAGGAGGGGCGGCAGTCGTTGTAGTTATAGTTGTAGTTGTATTTGGAGGAGGGGTGGCAGTCGTTGTAGTTGTAGTTGTATTTGGAGGAGGGGCGGCAGTCGTTGTAGTTATAGTTGTAGTTGTATTTGGAGGAGGGGGGGCAGTCGTTGTAGTTAGTTGTAGTTGTATTTGGAGGAGGGGCGGCAGTCGTTGTAGTTGTAGTTGTATTTGGAGAGGGGGCGGCAGTCATGTTGTAGTTGTAGTTGTAGTTGTATTTGGAGGAGGGGCGGCAGTCGTTGTAGTTGTAGTTGTATTTGGAGGAGGGGCGGCAGTCGTTGTAGTTGTAGTTGTATTTGGAGGAGGGGCGGCAGTCGTTGTAGTTGTAGTTGTATTTGGAGGAGGGGCGGCAGTCGTTGTAGTTATAGTTGTAGTTGTATTTGGAGGAGGGGTGGCAGTCGTTGTAGTTATAGTCGTAGTTGTATTTGGAGGAGGGGTGGCAGTCGTTGTAGTTATAGTCGTAGTTGTATTTGGAGGAGGGGTGGCAGTCGTTGTAGTTGTAGTTGTATTTGGAGGAGGGCCGGCAGTCGTTGTAGTTATAGTTGTAGTTGTATTTGGAGGAGGGGCGGCAGTCGTTGTAGTTATGTAGTAGTGTAGTTGTATTTGGAGGAGGGGGCGGCAGTCGTTGTAGTGGTAGTTGTAGTTGTAGGAGGAGGGGGGCAGTCGTTGTAGTTATAGTTGTAGTTGTATTTGGAGGAGGGTGGCAGTCGTTGTAGTGGTAGTTGTATTTAAGGAGGGCGGCAGTCGTTGTAGTTATAGTTGTAGTTGTATTTGGAGGAGGGGCGGCAGTCGTTGTAGTTATAGTCGTAGTTGTATTTGGAGAAGGGCGGCAGTGGTTGTAGCTGGAGGAGGGGCGGCAGTGTTGTAGCTTGGAGGAGGGGCGGCAGTCGTTGTAGCTGGAAGAGGGGCAGTGGTTGTAGCTGGTTGTAGCTGGAAAGAGTGGCAGCAGTGGTTGTAGCTGGAGGAGGGGCAGCTGTCGTTGTAGCTGGAAGAGGGGTGGCAGTGGTTGTAGCTGGAAGAGGAGCAGGCAGTGGTTGTAGCTGGAGGAGGTGGCGGCAGTGGTTGTAGCTGGAAGAGGGGTGGCTGTTGTAGTTGTAGCTGGAAGAGGGGCGGCTGTCGTTGTAGCTGGAAGAGGAGCAGCAGTGGTTGTAGCTGGAGGAGGAGCGGCAGTGGTTGTAGCTGGAGGAGGGGTGGCAGTCGTTGTAGCTGGAAGGGGCGGCAGTGGTTGTAGCTGGCTGGAGGAGGGGCGGCAGTGGTTGTAGCTGGAGGAGGGGCGTGGCAGTGGTTGTAGCTGGAAGAGGAGCAGCAGTGGTTGTAGCTGGAGGAGGGCGGCAGTGGTTGTAGCTGGAAGAGGAGCGGCAGTGGTTGTAGCTGGAGGAGGGGCGGCAGTCGTTGTAGCTGGAAGAGGGGCGGCAGTGGTTGTAGCTGGAGAGGGGCGGCAGTGGTTGTAGCTGGAGGAGGGGCGGCAGTGGTTGTAGCTGGAAGAGGGGCGGCTGTCGTTGTAGCTGGAAGAGGAGCAGCAGTGGTTGTAGCTGGAGAGGGGTGGCAGTGGTTGTAGCTGGAAGAGGGGCGGCAGTGGTTGTAGCTGGAGGAGGGGCGGCTGTCGTTGTAGCTGGAAGAGGGGCGGCAGTGGTTGTAGCTGGAGAGGGCGGCAGTGGGTTGTAGCTGGAAGAGGAGCGGCAGTGGTTGTAGCTGGAGGAGGGCGGCAGTGGTTGTAGCTGGAAGAGGGGCGGCAGTGGTTGTAGCTGGAGGGGGGCGGCAGTGCGTTGTAGCTGGAAGAGGGCGGCAGTGGTTGTAGCTGGAAGAGGGGCGGCTGTCGTTGTAGCTGGAAGAGGGGTGGCTGTCGTTGTAGCTGGAAGAGGAGCGGAGTGGTTGTAGCTGGAAGAGGAGCGGCAGTGGTTGTAGCTGGAGGGAGGGCGGCAGTGGTTGTAGCTGGAAGAGGGGCGGCAGTGGTTGTAGCTGGAGAGAGGGGTGGCTGTCGTTGTTGTAGCTGGAAGAGGAGCAGCAGTGGTTGTAGCTGGAGGAGGGGCGGCTGTCGTTGTAGCTGGAAGAGGGGCGGCAGTGGTTGTAGCTGGAGGAGGGCGGCAGTGGTTGTAGCTGGAAGGAGGGGCGGCAGTGGTTGTAGCTGGAGGAGGAGGCAGCAGTGGTTGTAGCTGGAAGAGGGGCGGCAGTGGTTGTAGCTGGAGAAGGGGCGGCAGTGGTTGTAGCTGGAGAGAAGGGGCGGCAGTGGTTGTAGCTGGAAGAGGGGGCGGTGTTGTAGCTGGAGAGAGGGCGGCAGTGGTTGTAGCTGGAGGAGGAGGCGGCAGTCGTTGTAGCTGGAAGAGGGGCGGCTGTCGTTGTAGCTGGAGAGGAGCGGCAGTGGTTGTAGAGCTGGAAGAGGAGGCGGCAGTGGTTGTAGCTGGAGGAGGGGCGGCAGTGGTTGTAGCTGGAAGAGGGGCGGCAGTGGTTGTAAGCTGGAGGAGGGGCGGCTGTCGTTGTAGCTGGAGAGGGAGCAGGCAGTGGTTGTAGCTGGAGGAGGGGTGGCAGTCGTTGTAGCTGGAAGAGGGGCGGCAGTGGTTGTAGCTGGAGGAGGGGCGGCAGTGGTTGTAGCTGGAAGAGGGGCGGCAGTGGTTGTAGCTGGAGGAGGAGCGGCAGTCGTTGTAGCTGGAAGAGGGGCGGCAGTGGTTGTAGCTGGAAGAGGGGCGGCAGTGGTTGTAGCTGGAGGAGGGGCGGCAGTGGTTGTAGCTGGAGGAGGGGCGGCAGTGGTTGTAGCTGGAAGAGGGGCGGCTGTGGTTGTAGCTGGAGGAGGGGCGGCAGTGGTTGTAGCTGGAAGAGGGGCGGCAGTGGTTGTAGCTGGAGGAGGGGCGGCAGTGGTTGTAGCTGGAGGAGGGCGGCAGTGGTTGTAGCTGGAAGAGGGGCGGCAGTGGTTTGTAGCTGGAGGAGGCAGTGGTTGTAGCTGGAAGAGGGCGGCAGTGGTTGTAGCTGGAGAGGGGCGGCAGTGGTTGTAGCTGGAGGAGGAGCGGCAGTGGTTGTAGCTGGAGGAGGGGCGGCAGTGGTTGTAGCTGGAGGAGGAGCGGCAGTCGTTGTAGCTGGAGGAGGGGCGGCAGTGGTTGTAGCTGGAAGAGGGGCGGCAGTGGTTGTAGCTGGAGGAGGGGCGGCAGTCGTTGTAGCTGGAAAGGGGCGGGCAGTGGTTGTAGCTGGAAGAGGGGCGGCAGGTCGTTGTAGCTGGAAGAGGGGCGGCAGTGGTTGTAGCTGGAGGAGGGGCGGCAGTCGTTGTAGCTGGAGGAGGGGCGGCAGTCGTTGTAGCTGGAAGAGGGGCGGCAGTGGTTGTAGCTGGAAGGAGGGGTGGCAGTGGTTGTAGCTGGAGGAGGGGCGGCAGTGTTGTAGCTGGAGAGGGGCGGCTGTCGTTGTAGCTGGAAGGAGGGGCGGCAGTGGTTGTAGCTGGAGGAGGGGCGGCAGTCGTTGTAAAGAGGAGGGCAGTGTTTGTAGCTGGAGGAGGGGCGGCAGTGGTTGTAGCTGGAGGAGGGGCGGCAGTGGTTGTAGCTGGAGGAGAGGAGCGGCAGTGGTTGTAGCTGGAGGAGGGGGCAGTGGTTGTAGCTGGAGGAGAGGAGCGGCAGTCGTTGTAGCTGGAGGAGGGGCGGCAGTGGTTGTAGCTGGAAGGAGGGGCGGCTGTCGTTGTAGCTGGAAGAGGGGCGGCTGTGGTTGTAGCTGGAGGAGAGGGGCTGGCAGTGGTTGTAGCTGGAGAGGAGCGGCAGTCGTTGTGTGCTGGAGGAGGGGCGGCTGTCGTTGTAGCTGGAGGAGGGGCGGCAGTCGTTGTAGCTGGAGGAGGGGCGGCAGTCGTTGTAGCTGGAGAGGGGCGGCAGTGGTTGTACCTGGAAGAGGGGCGGCAGTGGTTGTAGCTGGAGGAGGGCGGCTGTCGTTGTAGCTGGGAGGAGGGCGGCAGTCGTTGTAGCTGGAAGAGGGGCGGCGGCAGTGGTTGTAGCTGGAGAGGAGGAGCTGGAGGGGCGGCAGTGGTTGTAGCTGGAGGAGGGGCGGCAGTGGTTGTAGCTGGAGGAGGAGGGGCAGTGGTTGTAGCTGGAGGAGGAGCGGCAGTCGTTGTAGCTGGAGGAGGGCGGCAGTGGTACAGTGGTTGTAGCTGGAGGAGGGGCAGGCTGGAGGAGGGGCGGCAGTCGTTGTAGCTGGAAGAGGGGTGGCAGTGTTGAGCTGGAGGAGGGGCGGCAGTCGTTGTAGCTGGAGGGGGCGGCAGTCGTTGTAGTGGAGGAGGGGCGGGGTGTTGTAGCTGGAGGAGGGGCGGGCAGTCGTTGTAGCTGGAGAGGGGCGGCAGTGGTTGTAGCTGGAGGAGGGCGGCAGTGGTTGTAGCTGGAGGGGGGCGGCAGTGGTTGTAGCTGGAGGAGGGCGGCAGTCGTTGTACGCAGTGTTGTAGCTGGAGGAGGGGCGGCAGTCGTTTGTAGCTGGAGAGGGGGCGGCAGTGGTTGTAGCTGGAGGAGGGGCGGCTGTCGTTGTACCTGGAGCTGGAGGAGGGGCGCAGTCGTTGTAGCTGGAGGAGGGGCGGCAGTGGTTGTAGCTGGAGGAGGAGCGGCAGTCGTTGTAGCTGGAAGACGGGGCGGCAGTGGTTGTAGCTGGAGGAGGAGCGGCAGTCGTTGTAGCTGGAGGAGGGGCGGCAGTGGTTGTAGCCTGGTTGTAGCTGGAGGAGGGGCGGCAGTGGTTGTAGCTGGAGCTGGAGGAGGGGCGGCAGTGGTTGTAGTGGCGTTTGTAGCTGGAGGAGGGGCGGCAGTCGTTGTAGCTGGAGGAGGGGCGGCAGTCGTTGTACCTGGAGCTGGAGGAGGGGGCAGTGGTTGTACCTGGGAGGAGGGGCGGTTGTAGTGAGGAGGGCAGTCGGTAGCTGGAGGAGGGCGGCAGTCGTTGTAGCTGGAGGAGGGGCGGCAGTGGTTGTACCTGGAGCTGGAGAGGGGGCGGCAGTCGTTGTACCTGGAGCTGGAGGAGGGCGGCAGTCGTTGTAGGAGGAGGGCGGCAGTGTTGTAGCTGGAGGAGGGGCGGCAGTCGTTGTAGCTGGAGGAGGGGCGGCAGTGGTTGTCTGGACTGGAGGGGCGGAGTGTTGTAGCTGGAGAGGAGGGGCGGCAGTGGTTGTAGCTGGAGGAGGGCGGCAGTCGTTGTAGCTGGAGGAGGGGCGGCTGTCGTTGCTAGTGGAGGGCGGCAGTAGTGGAGGAGGCGGCAGTGTTGTAGCTGGAGAGGGGCGGCAGTCGTTGTACTGGAGGAGGAGCGGCAGTGTTGTAGCTGGAGGAGGGCGGCAGTCTTGTAGGAGCGGCAGGGAGCTGGGGGGGGCGGCAGTGGTTGTAGCTGGAGGAGGAGCGGCAGTCGTTGTAGCTGGAGGAGGGGCGGCAGTTTGTAGGAGGGGCGGCAGTCGTTGTAGCTGGAGGAGGGGCGGCAGTGGTTGTAGCGGAGGAGGGCGGCGTCGTTGTAAGGAGGGGCGGCAGTCGTTGTACCTGGAGCTGGAGGAGGGCGGCAGTCGTTGTAGCTGGAGGAGGAGCGGCAGTCGTTGTAGCTGGAGGAGGGGCGGCAGTGGTTGTAGCTGGAGGAGGAGAGCAGTGGTTGTAGCTGGAGGAGGGGCGGCAGTGGTTGTAGCTGGAGGAGGGCGGCAGTGGTTGTAGCTGGAGGAGGGGCGGCAGTGGTTGTAGCTGGAGGAGGAGCGGCAGTCGTTGTAGCTGGAGGAGGGGCCGCAGAAAAGCTCAGTGCTATGAGCAGGAAAATGGGCAGAGGGTTTGAACCCATCTCCTGCAGAAAGAGAGATTGAAACAACAGTGACTCACAACACTTCAGCGATGTATTTTTTGTGACACTAATGACAATATCTACACAATAATAGAGTAATCTACCGAAAATGAGCCTTGAAAAGTTTTAGTTGAATATAAAATTAAAAAGAATAGATGCCCATTAAATCACAAACTGCAAAAATGTCACTGTAATGACTTGGACGGTTATGTTTTTGTTGTAAAAATATATATCAGTGATTTCATTTTGATAAGATAATATATTTGTTGCCCGGTACTTGCTTGTGAATAACTTTTTTTTTCTTCTTTGCTACATAACATATTCCATGTATCTCACTTCATATGTTTGATGTCTTCTGTATGTATATCAAAAGTAAACTGTAGTAAACATTAGAGCCCGACCGATATATCGGCTGGCCGATATTATTGGCCGATATGGGCACCTGGAGACATATCGGCTATCGGCCGATATGCTTGCTGATATGGGCCGATATTTCACGTGGGCATGTTATATCTCGTTATAAAGCTTAGACTCACTACATTATGTTCATTTAATCCAATGTACAGACAGATGTCTGATTAAATGTCCTAATATGTGGCTCCGCATCAGTATTTATCTGCAGTGGAATTTGTCTGTGTCTGTGTCCGTACTGTCCCTGAACTCACCCCCAGAGTCACGTCACGTCACTCACGTGCTATTGTTTACACCCGCAGCGGTGCGCAACACTGAAATTATATTCTTTTTACGGACAATCGGTTTGAGTCTGGATTAAAAGGACATTTATTAGTGCAGACTTGTGATGTGAGGAGGAGCCTGTGTGAGCGGTGAGTGTTGGAAATGCATCGACTTCGAAGCTAGTTTTGGCTATTTGTTATTAGCGATTAGCTGCTGTAGCTCTCGCACATAAACAAACTGTTTTCTATTGGCCTATTGTAAAGTGACTCTATTGGCCGTATATTTGTTACAGGACCAGCATTGATATGTAAATGAGCTGTGAATAGACGTGTGAATGATCCACATTTATGCATATAATTAATTACCGCAGCGCGCAGCATTTACGGCTAAAGGCTAATAGCGATAGTTTATTTACTAGCTAGGAGTTATGGGTCGGTCACGCTCTTAGAGCCGGCTCTTTGCATGCTTCTTATTGGGAGCCGTGTTTTCTCTTTTTCTCACTTTTTCTCTTCAAGCCGCTTGTAGACCCGTAGTTTGACAGCAGCAGCGGCTGAAACGAAACTTTCAGAAATATGCGTGTGCATAGGATACTTTTTTTTTTTTTTAAAGTGCATATTTGGCTGCAGTTCAGCAGTCCTGATTCAGTTCTGGTTTAGTCCTGTTTTACACATGGTTTAAATCTGTTTTAGTCCTGGTTTAGTCCTTTTTCAGTCCTGGTTCAGTTTTGGTTTAGTCCTGCTTGCAACAAAACAATCTCAAGAGTCGTTTGGGAGCCGAAAGAGCCAGCTGCTTTAGTGAGCCGAGCCAAAAGAGCCGGTTCTACAAAAAAAACTGGAATACCCATCACTAGTAGCTAGAATGTGATGCAAAAATGCCATTAGGCCAATCTACTGTATGTAAATATGACGTAAAGAGTCAGAATAACAATAAATGTTGCCTAAATAAACCCAATTTAGAATCCACTAGAGCCAAACCTAAGTTTTTTAAACAATTCAATATTTACAGTGAATTTTTACATCACTAAATATATCGGCAGCTCCAACTCCCATTAGATCGGTTTCATATCGGCCACAACAAAATCCATATCGGTCAGGCTCTAGTAAACATATATTAAAAAAAAAAAAAAAACATTCAATAAGATGATGACTCAAAATTTTTGACTGGCAGTGTATGACTAAAATAAAGGTGTATGCTTTTTGGGTTAGACTGGAACATTTGGTTTAGAAGTGCTGCTTTGGGAATCCAGATTGACTGCCTTTACACTTGCACATGCACCATAACAATTAGAACTAAACCTGGACTAGCACAGGACTAAAGCAGGACTATAACAGGATCAAACAGTCTCTATCAGGACTAAACTCAGATCAAATCAGGACAAAGGACAGGGCAAGTGTGAAAAGAGCAAGAGCATGGAAAGGAGTGAAGCGTCAAGAGTTGTGCTGTATAAAATAATATAATATAATATCAGTATGAGATGTT